GAAACTAGAGATATGCTTGCTCCCTTTATCAATATGTGGGATGCATATATGGCGGGGCGACGACTAGACACCGAGCATTATTAAAAGGTAAATATTGCCCCCAGGAAAACAATAAAAAAGGAAAACGAGAATTCAAAAATGTTCGACAACTGAAAAATTTTATGCGCTTTTTTTTTCTTGTTGTTGCGTCCAACATAGTTTTTTCGCAGACGATGAAATTTTGGATTTTTGTGAGATTTACGAGACAGTTGAGGGGCACAACATAAATTCCAGTGAACCATGGCACACACACACACACACACACACACAGACACGATTGCATCTGCTGCTGTTGTTGTGGCATTCTCAAGTGCATTTAATTAGAGCTTCGCCTTTCCTCTATGTGTTGGCTAGAGAGCAGCGTATATATGTATGTATATATATGTATATGTATTTATATGTGTATGTATTTTCTCCAATGTTCTTTGTTTGGCATATTTTCCATGTCTCCAATTAAAATGAATGCGTTCATTGATCCGCCCCTAGGGTTGGGACGGGGGGCGGTGCGTGGTGGTAGGGACACTGTGCGGGTCCCAGTGTTTGGGGGCTGCTACTGCTGCTGCCGTTGCTTATCGGGCGCTATAAATCTTGATACGCTGTCATGTTCTGTCTAATTAGCAATATGTCAATAAACTTAATTTAATTTTTTTGTTTTTTTTTTTTCTTCATCTCTTCCTCCTACTGTTTGCCTCGTCGCTTCTGTGTGGCATGCCAGCAGCGCCTGGAGTGGGGGTGGGCGTGGCAAATGTTGCTGGCTGCGATGCGGTTGCATTGGGTGGTGTATGGGTCAGACTTTAAAATTTACTATCGCTATTGCTGTGGCTGCATTTATTGAATATTTGCAATTGCTCTTATTAGAATACACATGTGGTATTTTTTTTTGACAATTTAGTATTTTTCTATATGCCCTAATCACGTTGTTGGAGTTTGCTTGTATTTCAAATTTTATTTTATTTTTTATTATTATTTTGTAGATTTTATTTCAGTATTAAATTCAGCTTGTTTTGGGTTTTAATGATTTCAGTTGAAATATGAGAATGTGGAATAAAATTAATTGGGTTCTGTTGGACAAAATTACAAAGGATCGTGTTAAATAAAGTTTATGTAAGTAACATATATATATTATGTAACATATAGTAAAAGTACGTGGTATATATAAGCACTCTAGTCCCTAATATTCGAAATGTCAAGGGGATCAGTTTTTTTTTATTTACACAGAAATTTCAATTATCAAGATTTATCGAGAACAAATTTGTTTTCAAGGGGATTGAATTTTTTGTCGATTTAGCGTTTTTTTTGTTTAAGCGTGTTTTTTTTTTTTAAGTAGTATGTAGTATGATATTCCATCTTTGGAGCTAAAATAAAAAATTAAACTAAATTTTGATTCTCAACTTTCTATCGCTATAAAAGCTAACAGACATGGGAAACCAAATATTTATTTACATAGACATTTCGAATTCGGCTGTAAACGATTCACACTGAGTAAATAAGTAAGCGAGCAATTTGCCTAAGTCAGTTTGGTATGTTAACTATATAATAATTAAGTATTAATACGTATCTATACTCAATTTAATTACTACTCAGTTATAATATCAAATTCAGCATCGCATATCTGCCCACCTTCAAATAACCCAAATGCGTGCAACTGTTGGCATTGCTGATTAACTAATTCCATGCGATTTCCATAGCATTTGTAATTGATCACAATTGCAACTAAGCAGATTGACTGATAGAACAACAGAGCATAAATGTATGTGCACATGTAAATATTCAAATATATATACATATATTTATATATATACATATCTGCTGTGTGGCTGATATGAAAATCCGGCAAAACCTCTGAATGCCATCAAAATGCATCATCAAATTGTGGCAGTTTGCACCTTTTATATAATTTCCTTTAATCAATTATGTGTAACGGCAACAACGACAACAACAACAACAAGAGCAACAATACATGCACAGCAACTGCGTGCAGTAATAATAGCAAATTCGACAAATTTACGGCTCGAAATGCGCGTCGACTGTCAGCATGTTGAAAATAAATTACAAAACATTATTAGCATGGCCAACGGGGATGATCGATGGGCGGCGACAGGCGTTGGGCGTGGCTGATTGCCTGCAGTCATGTTCAAATCAAATAAATTACCAAAAACAATTTCTATTCGCAAATCAAGCGTCAGCTTAGACGGCGAGATGCTCTAAATAAATTGATATGATTATGCAAATTATTTGATAATAATTACTAAAAATCTGATATGTTGAAATTAAATAAAAATAAAATGTGTATACCAAACAAAATTTGTAAATGCTTGGAACTAACACACAATAAATATAAAAAAAAAAAAAATTAATTACACAATAAATTAAAACAAAATTAAATTACATTTTATGTTTAAATAACAATTGAATAAAAGATCAAAATATGTGTATATAAAACATATTATTTTAGATATATTACTTGAAAATCAATTCTGAGAAAATTATACAAAATTAAAAAAATATATAAATAATATATATAAAATGGTATTATTTCAAATTTTATATAATATTTTAAATTGAGACTTCATAGAAAATGTTCAAAAATGTTTTATTTTTTATTTTTAGTATTTTACATAGTAATAAATATTATATAATTTGAAGTGGATATTAAAAACTTGAATATATTTAAAAGAATATACAGTTTATGCTTTATACATAAAATAAAAAAATAATATACATTTTATTTAAGAAATATCTTAATTAGAAAAAAAAAAAAACAATTTACAAAAAGCCTAGACTTTAGTATATATTATATAGAATTGCTCACACAGATCCCAAAATATAGAATAGTGTATGGATAGAGCACTTCGAAATTGATTGGAAAACTAGGTAGAGTACATACAAGTGTCATGTAAAACAATTTATTGTTTACTTTGGGGATTTAGGGGAGTTGATGCGATGTTTTGGCAGCTGCCAGATGGATTCGTGTTTGACCTGGAGATGGTTTCCGTTTACAAGCGAATGCATATGTATGTATGTACATATATCAGCCCACATATATTTACTGGCTTCTATTTAATTAAAGTCGATGTGAACGCATTAAAAGTGCCATGTTTAATCATTGTTTGATAATTTGTCAAGCCTCAGCGAACTGGTCGACCGTAAATGAAAATGAAAATTAATTGATAAACGCTGATAAATACGTTTAATTTGCAACCAAAAATCACATTAATTGCATTACACACACTCACACATCGAAGCGTAGATCAAAAGGCAAAAAACTCCACAGCTAATGGTCAACCAGAGCCGCAGCGTCAGTGAAAGGGGGGGGCGAAGGGCACAAAGGGAGAGAGGATGAATGGTAGGTAAGAGCGGGTGGGTGTGGCAGGACCAGCAGAACCAGCCAGACCAACAGACAACAGCGCGACAGCAACCACCAGTCAACAGCAGGCCACGGACAGTGGGCTACACACACACACACACTCTCAGGTATTCTCTTCATATTGTGCACAATTAGTGACACAGCGAGACCCAAGTGGACAATTCCTAGCTACAGGGGACACTCACTACAGATAACGCTGACTGTCAGGTACGCGTATGTGCCTCAGGCTACTTTTGCATGTTTCTCTCTCTCTTTCTCTCTGTGTTTGTGTGTGTGCGTGTGTGTGTTTGCGAACCCCCTCATTGAATATCTCAGCCAACACTCACATCATTTTCGCTGCTCTGTTGTTGTCAACAATATGCGACGAAATTAAAGCCAACGAGCGACGACTCTCGACGCCCGCCTCATTGTCCCGTGTCCTGCATCCCGTCTCCTGTGCTCCGTAGTGCACGTTGTTTGACGGTTTCGTCGATTGGCACACATCTGCGCAAATCGAATTAATGTTCACGCATGATTTGGATCTGGATGACGGATCTTTCAGTGGGCGGCTTAGTTACGCCGCCAGCACAGTGCACAAAAATTAATTAAGCATCTTGTTATGAGACGAGAAAAACAAGGCTTAACTAGGTGAAAGACAAATGAAACTGATGGAAAAATACCATGCCAAAAATGAATGACGTTTGTATATACCAAAAGGCTGTTGAATATGCAGACATACATACATATATCTGTATCTAACTATAAGATATTTATTTATATATAATGCCAGGTCTAAGCTCACACAGAGACAGATGAATTGCCTGGTTTTTAGAGAGCTTAAGTCGTAACTGGCTTAAGTTTGAAATGAGTTGACTAAAGGTGAACTAAAGTGAAAAGCTATTGTTAAGGTCTCCAAGATAATCTCTTGTAAATATTTGATACGTACATATATGGGATGAATTTCCATTATTTGACGGGCTTAATCTCTGCGTTTTATTACAACTTTTTATTGTACAAGTTTTACAGATGGCAGAATTTTTCTTGAGCTCTGTCTGTAATAGTTACACCTGATAGCTTTTCTCCTAATCAGTGCCTCCTTTAAACGTTAAATACAGCACAAAAGCCCACTGCTGCACATGAGTCTATATTCTTAATCATTAAATAGTTGATATACCAAAAGAAATTATAAACAATTCAGTAGGTAATACATGCTCTTCCATGCCAGAATCTTGCTTCAAATTGCTCACAGCTAAATTAAATAATAAAAACAAAACTTTTTGTTTATTTTTTCGAATTCACCTCAACAAATAAATGTTTTATTTAACGAGTGCAAGCCGCACAACAGTTCAATAACAAAATTAAAACTTTCCCATATTAATCATCACTTCCTCTTCTCTCCTAGCGAGCACGAGAGAGATAAAAACAACTGTTTAAATATTTAATGTCAATATAACTTTGGCTTATAATATATTTGAGTTAATCGCCCGCCAATAAAATTTGGCATTAATAAATTCGAAGACAGCTGAATAAACATTGCAAAATCTTTGAGCATTGAGCTGAACTATATAAACTCAGCCAAATGCTAAGAATTCGTCATTCGGCTTGAGACGTGATTCGAGAAGATGATATCGAATGCTATAATAATTAGCTGCGCCGTTCTGGCAATCATTTTCGTTGCTTACCTGCCGTTGGGTGACGCGGTCACCTGTACAGTGGAGCCCGATAATGTAGACTGTGTCGACTGCCTCGATCCCATCAATATTGAAAATGCCGAGTGCATTGCTGAAGACTATGAATACTACGAAGATGACGACGACGCTTTGGCAACGCGACGTCCGCCCAGGTGGGACCAACCTGGCAGGCGTCCAGGCAGGAGGAGGCGTGGTCCAAGGCACGGACACAGACACGGCCACAGCCACAATCGTCAGCCGCAAACTCTGCTGGGCCGCATTCTGCAAAAGAAACTAAACATTATAAATGGATTAAGACAGGGCTAAAGCGTTTTGGAAATAAGTGAAAAACTAGAGAATATATCTCAATAAAATACAAAAATAAAAAAATGAAAACAGAGACAAATTTATTTATTTTAATATAAAGTAATAAATTTTCTGCGCAGTTGCATCTTTTATATACAAGAGATGACATCCATGCCATATGGGTTAGAAGGAATATTGATTTTGGAATCAAAGGCCTTAATCCATAATAGAAGTTAAAAGTTGAGAGAATACCAGAATATTACAAGTAACCCTACAACACGTTGACTGGGACAATTAAAGCACATTTGTTCTACGCAGAAAAGAGATGAGCAATAAAGGCTAGGGAGCTTCGTCTTTGCTTGCCTCAGTCTTTATAAGCTTCGAAACTGAGCCAATCAAATACGCAGCTCACTTATAAGAAGAGCGATTTCTGTTTGCCGTTGAGCAGAAAACATTGTCAACCAATTCTAAGATCTCAAATTAATATGAATATTTCGAATAAATAATAGTTTCTATATTCTGATATGATTCACATACTATAATTTGTTCCACTGTATACTGAGACACAATGCCCCTTATTTACAGCCGTTTTCATTTCATTTTCATGATTTTAACAATCCTATCGCATCGATTATCAAAATCACGTGCAATTAGTGAGTGCACTGCTACACACCCTGTATATCAAATGATATCCTATTAGGCACACGCCTGCTCAAATGCAGCTGCCTCAGCTGGCAACCCTTTTGGAAGGCTTCTAATGCTCTGCGCTGCATGCAGACATCTGCGTTTAATGCACTTTTGTCTAGCCGTTTTCTAGCCAGAAAATCCCAGTAAAGCCACAGAGCTGCATGGATCATATATATGTATGTGTGTGTACGTACGTACGTAGCTGGCACGTTAGAGGGAGTCAGTTATCAATGGCGCCAACTGTTGCCAGGCCCGGACTGAAGCTAACTGCCAAGCTTACTAATTTTAAGGATTCCCCCTCCCGGCATCGGCCCCACCCCACTGCTGTAAGCTTCAGCTGGTAGCAAGCAATGCCAATGCCATTGCCAAACTGTTTTGCCATTTTCTATTGCGTGTCGCGTCTGCCAAAGTCAGTTGTTGTTATACCCATTTTAAAGCGGCAGGCCGGGTATATCGGTTTGTAAATATATAAAATAATAAAATTATACAAAAATAATAATAAAATAATAAATAATAATGGTATGTGGAAAATATACAACAAGCCTATATAAAAGGTTAAGAAATAAGTTAAATAAAAAAATTAAGAATAATAATAAATTATAAAAATAAATAAAAAGAAACAAAACAAATAATTAAAGTGAATAAAATTAAAATCTATAAAAAATAAAATAAATTAAATAAATTAAAAAATAATTACTGAAGTAAATAATTTAAATACCATAAATAAATAAAATAATAAGAATTTTGCGACCATTTTTATAATAAAGCTTTAATCTGAATCGGGTAATTACTATCAAATTTTTGTGTATACATTTTTTAATATCTTGTTAGTATATTTCGAATATATTTGTTTAAAATCACTTGAAATTTATTTCGATTTTATATAGTATTGGCATAAATAATGGGAGACATTAAATTTGCTATGCTAATTGCTGAAATAAACTTTCTCAACTAATAAATTAATTGTTAAATCAGAACTTAACAACCAATCTCTATAACTATAAAATCCAGATACCCCTAGCTTTAACATAATTCCTCATAATATGCAGTGATTAGGTACATTTACTATTTTTTTTTTTTAATTTTTTTTTTTTTTTTATTAATATGAACTTTTGTTTCGGTGCCTTCTCTAAGCCTCTAAAGAAGCTAGCGTAACTGCTAGTCGGTCCCTCCCAACACTCCAGCACTTTTACTTGCTGTTGGCATTGTGGCCTGACTTTTCAGAGTCATTGCCAATATGTCGAGCTGCTGCCGCGACTCCTGCCGCTGCTGCTGCTTCTGCTGCTGGTAAACTGCTGATAATTAATATTTTATGCACACGTCTGCGTTGATTTCTATCTTTATTGTTGTTTGTCTGCCATCGTCTCGTCCTGGCTACGGCTTTAGCCTTGTCGCTCGCTTCATTTCTTTTTTTTTTAATTCCATTTTTTTGTTGTTGCTATTTTTGTTGTTGTAGTTGTTGTTGTTGCTGGCCGCTATTGTTTGCCCAGTGGCAACGCCTTTCAATGGCTTTTCAGTTGGAAAATGTCTGCACGATGCGCGGCTGCGGTTCATTACACTTTCTGTTTAGCCATCAGCCCCAAACAATCCGCTGTGTCGGTTATTAAAAGTCTATTAAAAATTCACGTTCAATGCCTTACTTCACTCACATTTAGCTCCATTGATGGCCCCCACATATATATGCCATAAATTAAGTGGAAAATGTAGCCACACTTATTATACGGCATTGTGTTTACGGTTAACGCTTTATGGTCTACGGATTTCGCATTATTTTTTATCACACTCGGCAATTTGTTTGCCTTTCAGCTTTGGGCTTTGCGCTGTGTATGGCAGGTTTCTGTTTTTTGTTCGTTTGGGGCATGCCTTATCTGCCCTCTCTGGGACTATTCAAGCCGGAAATACTTATGTGTCAGGCAGGCAGCCAGTGCCAAGTATCTTTTTAGTGTAGTTTCGATTTTCGATTTTCAATTTGAATTTTTGATGTCAGTCCATTTAAGCAGTCGCTCACCTCAACAGCAGCAGCAGCAACAGCAGCAGCTGACATTAGGCAGGTGTTTGGCTTCTGGCTGACAAGCATTCTAGTCTTGCTCTAGCTTTGGCTGTGGCTCTGGCTCTGGCTGTGTCATTTCCTTGTGACGGAGTGAGTGAAGTGCGAGTATCTTGTATTGCCATGCACTTTTAATTTTCTTGACTTTTACTGCCAGCAGGGGGAGGGGTCGGGATAAGTGTCATGCATGTATTGAATGTCTCTGTGAGTGCTGCCTGCCAGCCTGATTGACAGCTCGGTGCAAGCTAAAATAATTTCAATACTGAACGGAAATGCACGACCGTCTAAGCAGACAAGATTATCGACACTAAGCTCTAGAGTTACATTCATTTTTTACCTTTGTATTTAACTTGAGTAAAGCTATTAATTTTGATTAGATAACTATTTAGAGAAACTGTCGGTAATAAACATAAAATTGTTACAGGCCATCAAAAAGGCATTTCATATCTTGAAGATTCTTTAGGTACATCATTTTAATGGGGATATAGTTTTAGAGTGCTTATATATGTATATATATTATATGGAAAAGAAGAATATATTATTTTATATTAATTTATTATATTATATTATTATATTATATTATATTAGTCGATTCAAGGTATATTGATGGAGATTCTAAAGGTGGATAGAAGAAAACAGCTGCCTGGCAAAAACTGCCGAGAAAAAATAAACTTTAAGAAATCAAATGGATGAAGAAACACAGACAATAGAGCTCTGCTAGGGCACATAATGTTGCAGCTTAATGAGGGAATGCCGATATGGAGCAGTGAACCAAGAGAGAGGCAGCTCTGATTGAAGACCTGAATGAAGACTTGCCTCTACCAGAAGAAAATAATTATACACGAATATATATCAATAGTTCTTTAAATATTGCTCATTCAGAAGAATCGTTAGCAGACAGAGATGACTCTTTCACTCCCTCTAGTGAAGCATTGTTTTTATAGCTATTTGCTAAATTTAATTGGATTCGCCGTAAAATAGCAAATTTTGTTAAATATTTAAACAGCTGCATATTAATAACAATTCAAGCACCATCTGATTCACTATAGTTGGCAATAGCTAAAGCTCTAGCTTGGGTACACAATAGTTTCTTCATTCATTCAGTTTTCGTTCTCATTTGCCTGAGCAAAACAAATTTTGAAGGTCGTATTTGGTATATGTTACTTCGTTTCTTATTGACATATCTCCGTGTGTATTTTTAGTTCCTATATGTTGTTTGTCATCTTGCCGTGCACCACTGATGCCTCACAAGGAATTTCTAGCTTTGATTGACTTCAAGTCAAAATATATCGTTTAGAAATTGAGAGATTTTCCTGTTTGCATGTGCTGCACAGATTCTTTTTAGTACGCAGCTGGTCCATTAGGTCGTCATGCATCATTGTTGTCGTTGCTATGTGGTTATTCCCTTCGGGGAAATCAAACACGATTCTTTGACTAAATGTTTCCCTTCTTACAGTCGCTGCTCCTTGGCAAATGTCGTTTAATTGTGCTCGACTGTAAACATGCATAGAAGTAGGAGAAGATGAAGAAGAAGCAGCAGAAGGCGAGCAAAGCTGCAGAGCGCATTGCATGCGTGGAGACAATTTTCGTTGGAAAAACGCAGAAGGCAAATGTTTAAATAGTTTACTTGAGTACGCCTTGTGTCCCCATCTAGTTGCTTATTGTTCGCCTCGTGTTGCCTTGGCTCAAATTCAAATAGCTGCATTAAATTTTAATTATATATTTCTTTAAATTTCCCCTCTGTCTCTCTCTCTCTCTCTCTCTCTCTCTCTGAATGTGTTTAGGGAGCTGACAAAACAAAGAGTCAGTTTCATATTTCATGGGTCGAAACTCGGCTTTGTGCAGAGTTTTCAATTGTTTTACTGCATTTCACATTATTTGACAAATTGAACAATGAGCTGGGCAAAGATTGGAAGGGGTGCGAGTAAAAGTGTGTGTGTGTGTGAAAATTAATGTTAATTGGCGTTTTATTGATTCTATGATCAATATCGAAATAGACGTAGAGAGGGAGAGTGTGGGTTAGACAGAGAAAGAGAGAGAGTGTGAGAGAGCCAAGCTCGGGAACTGAGCCACATGTCGAGCAATTGCTCGGCGGTTCTGGAGAAAAACCACTTGAAGGCGACGCTACTGTCGGCTAATGTGAAATATGGCACCCAAACTAACAAAAGCGACCCCTGCACACACTTGAGATCATGAATTTTTAATGGGTACAGCAACCGAGGTCCTGCCAACTGCTGTCCCTGCACAGTCCTGGCACACAGCCAGGCACACCGAGGCGCCCCCAGCGATAATAATGACAATGATTAGTGTTAAACGCGCCGCG